ATTTACATCAGTAATCATGTCTTTTTCTTTCTTTGTTCTAGCCAATCATAACATTTGTTCCATATTTCATAAAATTCTGTTGCCTCCTTGTCTTTTAATTCTAGCGTAAGTTTATTCATTTCCGCGCATTCAAGAATTTTGTATATAATCATATCGTTTGTAGGTATGTTTTCACCCTTCCAACACTGAGCATATACTACACGGGCTGCTGTCAATATATGTATAATGATGTGTTGGAGTTGCTTTTTGATCTTTAAATGTATTATACCCAGAAGGAATAGTTCAGGTTTGAATTCAATTTGCACCTTGGTTATCTCCTGTATCCAGTTCCCTATCCGTTCCCAATAGCTCTTTGCTTTAGGGCACAGCCACCACATGTGATAGAATGTTCCTTCCTTATTTTTACATTTCCAGCATTCCGGATTCATATTTTTGTACATTTTGGCCAATCTCGCCGGTGTTAAATGCCATCTATAGAACATGAACTCCCACACTCCTATGGGTAAGGCTATGCTAGGAAAAGCTGTTGCAGATCTGAAAGCATTAGAGTTGTAGTGGTGTCTGGAAACGACCTTGGGAGAAAGAAGACAAAGCTGCAGACCAGATAGTTGTCAGATAAGAGGCAGCTGAGTTTGCAGAAGTATGGAACCCTCCGTAGTTTCTTGAGCTGCAAAGGTGAGGGGGAAAGAGATGTATTTTCGGATTTGAAACTTTCTGTTCATGTAATCTTACAGTAAAATAGAATCAGTTCATCTGCAAATGTTTTTTTTTGTCTGAACTACCTCGCTAGCTTGACCGGAGGGATGGCACATATGTTTTCCCATTGTTCTAAAGTTTGGTAATTGCCCCCCAAACCAAGATAAAAATAACAGGATCAAATTTAAAAAAAACTGCTACATTTAAAGTTTTAAAACAACTCCACCACAATCTGGTATTTCTTAGGTACCAGATCTTCCTGGCTTAAAATGATAGCAATTATGGGGACAGGATTATCCTCACTGAAAAAAAAATGTTTCTAGCTCGTCCCTATTTACGGTAATCATTCCCTGAAGCTGGGCTGATCTAATAGGGAGGAATAGGTCTCCGAACTTGGCAACTTTGCGGACTCAATTCCCAGAATTCCTTAATCAGCCATGCTGACTGGGGAATTCTGGGAGCTGAAATCCACAAGTTATTGTCCTATGAATAATCAGATTTCACAAGCCAAACAAATAAACTTATGCTGGATGGGGAATTTTGGGAGCTGAAGTCCACAAGTTATTCTCCTATCCACAATCAGATTTCACAAGCCAAACAAACAAACCTATGTTGGCTGAATTCTGGGAGTTGAAGTCCACAAGTTATTCTCCTATCAACGATCCAATTTCACAAGCCAAACAAACAAACCTAGGTTGGCTGGGGAATTCTGGGAGTTGACATCCACAAGTCTTAATTAACTTGAAGTCCATACATCGTAAAGTTGCCAAGGTTGAGAAACACTGCCTTAGGGTGTCCTGTTTTAGAGGGAGGGCACCCTAAGCCAGAACCAGCACCCTAAATTGTAAGCAACTTCATCAAGCCCTAAATTCCACATTGAGCTGAAGCTCCTCCAGATCTCCCCACCACGGGAGATGAGGTGGGTCTCAACAGTGAGGAGAACATTCTGATTCACGTTCGATATCTTTGGGGGATGCAGAATCCTTGCTCCTTTTCTGGGTCGGGTTTGGCAATGGGGAATTGGGGTTCACCTTGATGCAAACGAATCCTTGTGGGTGAGAAAAAAAATGTGAAAATAAGTCTTATCATACCATCACACGGCAACATGGTCCAACATTGCAACATCAGTATTCATCAACATTTAATTTAAGGGTTCCAGACAAAGTACTATGTGCACACTTCAGGGTGCTATAGAGCAGGGCTTTTCAACCAGTGGTACGGGTACCACCTGTGGTACATTGGCACCTGGCAGGTGGTACGCGACCATCCTAGAAAAGTGATAGTGGGGGAGGGGAATGAGCTGAACCGGTGGCAGCACCACACAAGCCTGAGCGACAGATGGGATCAGCGCTTCTTCAGGGCTGTCAGGGCTCAATGGAAATGCCAGGATCAGCGCCAGGCTCCAGCTGGAGCTCGGCGCTGATCCTGACGCTTCTGCTGAGCCCAGAAGAAGCGCCGATCAGCTGGAATGTTGCAGCATCTCCAGGGTCTTGTGATTTACATTCAGATGCTGGACCACTGATTCATATTTATGACGGTCACAGTGCCCCAGGGTCATGTGAAGTGACCAAAACCTGCTACAAACACCCAGCAGACGGGGGGAATAAAAACCAAACACCCCCCACCCCACCCCCGCTGCCAATCCTCAACAGAAATGCTCACAACAATGGAAACCTCGGACAGGAGGAAGAGGCAGGCAGGTGTCTTGCTCGGCTGTGGCTTGGGGGGGCACTTTTTTCAGTGCCATTGTAACTTCGAATAGTCACTAAGCGAAGTGTTGTAAGTCGAGGACTACCTGTACTTTTTCACTTTTTTCCTTTTTTTTTTTTTTTTGAGTCATCAAGTTTTTGACACCTTGCTAGGCGACTGGTGGTACTCGGATGTTGCCATATCCTAAAAGTGGTACAATGGGTGAAAAGGTTGAAAAGCCCTGCTATAGAGTAAGCCACAAATAGGCCTGACTTTACACAACATGCTAATTCAAAATGTTCTAAGCTCATTGGGCAGATATAGTTAAATATGAGAGATAATTTGGTCTACTGGTTAAGGTACAAGGCTGGAAAGCAGGAGACAGTGAGTCTTAGCTACGAAAGCCATCTGGGTGACTTTGGGCCAATCACCAGGAGACCATGAGGCTGGGTGACTTTGGGTCAGTCCCTCACTCTCTCAGACGAATCCACTAGAGGGTTGTCATTGTGGGGAAAATAGGAATAGGAAGAATTATGGTATGTGTTTGTTTCCTTGACCTGAAGTTGTATCTTGGAAACTGGAGCCAATTAATACTCAGGACTTAATTTTCCTTTATTAGTGATCCAATTCTGGTAAAAATTAACTACTTTCATTTCCAAGGCTTTCTGCTTGTAGACCAGCGTTACCAGATTTCGGGTTATGTGTGCCAAGCACAGTAGCCCAACATTCCTTGCTTGTTTAGGCAGTTAATCAGCTCCGTGTTACTCTTATTGATTCTTATCCAAGACATAAATTTATGACGATGATGATGTGCGTAATTGAAATGCTGTAAAACATCCGGGATGATTGTTGAAATACTAGTCTCTATTTGGCTCTAAAGCCAGGTCGTGATCGCTGATAATATCAATCAAACATAGCTTACTCATCCAAAAGGGTGCTGCTATAAAAGACAAGAGATTTTTCCCAGAGTCTCTCAAAGTCCACACTGGTTTTGGAAAAACAGTGCCAGGAATACTTGGAAAAGTCCAGCACAAAGGAAATGCATGATCTCGCTTTGCTACCGGATTGTTGAAGACACCAGCCACAGGCTAAAGGTAATTATGATTTAAGATGAAGCAATTATTAACGCATTTTAATGCGTGCCACTGGGGATACAGACAGACTCAGAAACTGAGGAGGGGGGAGGCAAGATCATATGGTTTCTCGATCATTTTTTTTATTAAGTCCCAAAACCAAAATGAAGCTGATGGTTTATGCGCTAAGCCTTAATACAGTAGACAAGTCATTTTGCCTTTTTACCAGCTACAAAACTTTTAATAGCCCGCTGTAAAGTTCCAATAGACAGAGCAAGTGTTCATTTGAGAGCAAGAATTCCATATTTTAAAGTAAAAGTACCAAATGGCAGGGTTTTTTTATCCCCCCCCCTTTCTGGACTTGCATTTGTTCTCCAAACCATTCTGAGGAAGCAAATCTTAATATAATACACATTTCTAATTTAAATGCTTCTCCTTCTGGGTCCCTAATTCCTAGTTTTGTTTCTATGGTACTTATTGTTCTAGGTGCACGGAAAAAGTTTCCTGAATTAATTGACGTAGTTCTACTCTCAGTCTAAAGTACTGTCTCATTTTAAGGTACGGGTGTACAGGCAGTTCTCGGACTTACAAACATTCATTTAGCATCTGTTCAAAGCTTACAATGATACTGAAAAAAATGACTTAAGGAAATGTGAAGAATGGTTGAAGGAATTCGGTATGTCTAGTTTAATAAAAATAAGGACTGGGGTGACATGATAGCAGTCTTTCAATATCTGACACAAAGAAGAGGGGGGGGGACAACCTATTTTCCAAAGCGCCTGAAGGCAGGACAAGAAGCAATGGATGGAAACCAATCAAGGAAAGAACCAACCTAGAATTAAAGAGACATTTCCTGACAATGGGAACAATTAAATCAGTGGAATGGCTTGCCTTCAGAAGTTATGGGTGCTCCGTCACTGGAGATTTTTAAGAAGAGATTTGGACAGCCGTTTGTCTGAAATAGTACAGGGCCTCCACCTCAAGCAGGAGGTTAGACTAGAAGACCTTCAAGGTCCTTCCAGCTCTGTTATTCTGTATTCTGCATACTTACAACTGGTCCTTGCACTTACAACCAGTCATACTTACAACCGTCACAACATCCCCAAGGTCACATGATCATAATTTGGACATGTGGGTGATTATGTGCCATTGAGTCAATACTGACTCTTGGTGACTATGAAGGGAGATTGTCTTTGGGAAGACATGTCCCAGTTGTAGGTCCTTCAGGTTTTCTTTGTTTCCATCCACCCAGCCGTTGATCAAGCTTCTTGTTCATTCCACCTTTCCCAAAAGACCCAGAGGCCTTTTAAAAAAGCTGGATCTTCCCATAACAGGTCCCACCTTGGATAATTTCAGCCTGAAATTTACAAGGATCTAGTCACATAATCAAAAGGAGACCAGTTAAAGTTACGGGAAATTTACTTTTATTTAGCGTGTTCAATAAGAGTTGTTACTTGGCTAATGTGTCAACTGATGGAAGCCTACTATATTTATTTATTGACTAGATTTTTATCTTGCCTTACTTACTTCGTATGAAGAGAAAGGTAAAAGAATAGTGTAACCAACACGAAGCACTGCCAAATAAAAACCTAAATATTGTAAAGCACCTATGAGATTGGAGTAACCATTGGTTTTTGTTGCTTTGGTTTTATGCAGGAAGACTTCGGAGATCCACCCGTAACCCGTTTGTGAAAGCTTGTAATCCAGCGATCTGTTTAACAAGCCTTAACAAGCCAAACAGAAATTTTACAGCCATGTCTCATCACCGTGAGGACATCCTTCCAAGAACATCTGGCGAAAAAGTGATCCACGGAGGCGAGCCATCTGTCTGGAAAATCCCCAGGCAGATGGGATCCTTCGGTCCAAAGGCAATGATCACCGGTGGCATGGGGTATTGTGGATTCCACCTAGGCTGTGCTCTCCTCCAGGAAGGGATCGGTGTGGTTTTGCTGGATAGAAGTGAACCTAAAAGGGACCTCCCCCAAGGAGCAGTCTTCGTCCAGGTAAGATGGGGACCAGTTTGACCGTTAGTGTTCAATCCCAGCCTATAGCCGTCCTTGTTAAAGGCACAAGGACCAAAGCCCTGTTGAGAAAATTGAACCGTTTTAGATAAACTTGGCCTGGATGAGTGGAGTCTTCATTTACATATTGCAAAACATTTTGGTGACAAACCCCTGCATTTTGACTGGATGAGTAAGATAATGTCTCAGATTCACAAACTTTTGCCATGATTGCACCTTTGTGGATGGTCATAAATTACTTTTTTCAGCATCGTCATAACTTTGAACGGTGATTAAACAAATGGTTGTAAGCCAAGGACTAGCGATAGCCTCATTATTAATCTAATACCTTCCACGTATTGTTGATAGTAAAAAAATAATAATAATCTTGCAACACTAGGAGGTTTAACCAACCAATAGTGATACAATCAATGGATTGTAAGGAGGTTCCTTGATGCTTCTTTATTTTCATGTGCAATTCTTTTTTTTTTTCCCCACACAAACTTTTTCCAGGCTGACGTGCGGGATTACGAGAAAGTCTTCCAAGCTAGTGAGGGAATTGACACCATGTTTCATTTGGCAAGCTTTGGCATGTCAGGAGACGAGCAAGTAAGTGGCTAATATAGAGTTACTTGCTACTCATAAGTATAATTGGGTCTGTCTAGTTTAATGAGGAGAAGGACGAGGGGGGGCATGATAGAAGTATTGCAATATCTCAGGGGTCGCCCCAAAGAAGAGGGAGTCAAGCTATTCTCCAAAGCCCCTGAAGGCAGGACAAGAAGCAACGGATGGAAACTCATCAAGGAGAGAAGCAACCTAGAACTAAACTTCCTCACAGTGAAGACAATTAAACAGTGGAACAACCTGCCTCCAGAAGCGGTGAATGCTCCAACACTGGAAGTTTTTAAGAAGAGACTGGACAGCCATTTGTCTGAAATGGTATAGGGTTTCCTGCCTAAGCAGGGGGTTGGACTAGATGACCTCCAAGGTCCCTTCCAACTTTATTATTATTATTATTATTATTATTATTATTATTATTATTATTGTTGTTGTTGTTGTTGTTGTTGTTGTTGTTGTTGTTATTGGTGGTGGTGGTGGTAGCGGTAGCGGTAGCAGTAGCAGTAGCAGTAGCAGTAGCAGTAGTAGTAGTAGTAGTAGTAGTAGTAGTAGTAGTAGTAATCTTTTTGGCTCTATCTTTATTAGTTTTGTTTAGGGTTATAATAGTGTTGCAGACTAGATGCCAACCTGCTATGTAGGCAAGAATTATTCTGTAAAACCAACAGTTCCTTCTTCAAGTGGAAATAGAGGACAGGTTTAATGAAGCAGAGAAGTTTGGTACCGAAAATGATCTAGGAATGGTACGATGTAAGATTGGATGGGACCTAAAAAAAAAACAATCATTCTTCTGATTTTTATTTTCTCCTCCCCCCCCATGTGGCTTCTAAACTCAAACAGATAGAAGAGATTGAGTCCATCAACGTGGGAGGAACGAAGGTTGTGATTGACGGTATGCTTCAGTTCCTTTTCCTCATTTCTGCCGTTCCGTAGCCGACTACTAGACTATTTATTTCGTAGTTTGTTAGATTTATGGCTTGCCCTTCCTCGTAAGAACTCGTGACAGGCCATTTTTCAGTGTTGTTGTGAGCAATAACATAACTGGATATGTTAGACTGATGTATCTCAACCTCAGCAACTTTAAGATGAGTGAGGACTTCAATTCCCAGAATTCCACAGCCAGGAGGAGGAATCTTAATGTACGGTGGCTGGGGAATTCTGGAACTGGAAGTCCACCTATCTTAAAACAAGCTAGCTGGGGAATTCTGGGGGTTGAAGTTCACCATTCTTAAAGCATGCTAGCTGGGGTATCCTGGGAGCTGAAGTCCATGCATCTAAAAATTGCCAAACATGCTGGCTGGAGAATTCTGGGAGTTGAAGTCCACATATCTGAAAATTGTCAGGCACGCTAGCTGGGGAATTCTAGGAGTTGAAGGCCGCCCATCTTAAAGCATGCTGGCTGGGGAATTCTAGGAGCTGAAGTCCACAAATCTTCAAATTGCCAAGGTTGCGAAATGCTGGCGCAAATGTATTGTTTCTCTGCAGTTTGCAAATCAAGAAACATTTCCAAATTGATCTACACCAGTTCAGTGACTGTTATCTTTGGTGGGGATCCAATTGAAGATGGAGATGAAACGTTGCCGTACTTTCCTCTTGAAAAGGTATGTGGGTGAGAAATATATTGGATGTAGGAGAGTTTGCACGTTAACGTCAAGTTACTTAATTTCCCATTTAGAAACTGACATCTCTCGAACCGCACAGAAATGGATTCGCCTTTGCAAATCCCCCCCAGAAATGGCTAGATTTCCTAGTCTAGTTTTACATCCCTGGGATTTGCAGCGCTTTGACTTTTCCAAGCTCAGCCAACGAGGCTCTTATTAATCCTTGAAACAGAATTCAGTTGTCCTCCAACGTTCACCCTTTTGCAAATTTTGCAATGCATTTCTCTAAATTTCACAAATTAGACACCAGTTGGGGGGGGGGAATTCTCGAAGTGAAACGGTCTCACCGGATATTTTAAAAAGCTGTTCGTGGAATTTCTGCTTGGAGGAGAAAAAAAATTACGAAATTTTGTCTTTGGGTTTTGACATTTAAGCAGGTTATTGTTACAGAAATAGCCAGTGGCTAAAAAGTGGGCCGTATAATTTTATTATGTATCTTACTGCACCGAAAAAAGTTAGATGGCTTTATGTTTCTTTTTTATTTCTTTTCTTCCCTTTCTCTCACCTTATCTCCTTTATTCCCTTTCCTCTTCCGTTTTCCATGGTCTTTATTTCTGTTTGTATTTTATATTCAGATAAAAAAGCTATTACTATTACTATTATTATTATTATTATTATTACTATTATTATTATTATTATTATATAGGCGTAGATATAAATACAAACAGAGGTGTTCTCTCTCATAGCAAGCTGACAATTACTCCAGATCCAAAACAATTGCAGAACAGATGATCTTAGCTGCCAATGGTGCCTCACTTCAGGGTAGGTCGGAAACAGTTTTTCCTTTCTTTCTTACTTTTCCAACCTGAAGGAACCTTGACAAACATTAAGGAAAAAAACATGAAAAAAAAAGAACACATTTTGTTTATGTAAAAAAGATGTTGAGACTCTAGAAAGAGTGCAGAGAAGAGCAACAAAGAGGATCAGGGGACTGGAGGCTGAAACATACAAGGAATGGTTGTTGGAATTGGGCATGTCTAGTTTAATGAAGAGAAGGACGAGGGGGGACATGATAGCAGCATTCCAGTATCTCAGGGGCTGCCCCAAAGAAGAGGGAGACAAGCTATTCTCCAAGACCCCTTAAGGCAGTACGAGAAGCAACGGATGGAAACTCATCAAGAAGAGAAGCAACCTAGAACTAAGGAGAAACTTCCTGACAGTGAGAACAATTAACCAGTGGAACAACCTGCCTCCAGAAGTGGTGAATGCTCCGACACTGGAGGTTTTTAAGAAGAGACTGGACAGCCATTTGTCTGAAATGGTACAGGGTTTCCTGCCTAAGCAGGGGGTTGGACTAGATGACCTCCAAGGTCCCTTCCAACATCATCATTATTGTTGTTGTTGTTGTTATTATTATTATTATTCTATTTAGAAAATGTAGGTGGCCGCCCTTTCACTTTCAGTGGCTCTGGGCTGCTTGCAAAAACATTATGGAAAGGGGCTCAGGATTCTGTTTGGCTGATAGCTCTCCCAAAACCAGAACAGAAGAGGTAATTCTCAATTTAAAACTAATACAGTATTTCTGTTAGTAGGGAGACATTTGCTAAGGCAGTTTTGCCCCATTTGACGGCCTGCCTTGCTTAGCCACAGATATTGGTGGTAAGCTGAGAATTATCTGTTACCGGGAGAGAATTTGCAATGCCTTCCAAATTTTCCCTCCCTCTTGTGAGGTGTCTACTTGATTTATACAGGATGTGTTCGTTTACTAATCACAATGAGGCCCAGCAACTTGGTCGGTTAAGCGAAGCGACCACGAAGGGAAACATCACAACGTTGTGATACGGATTTCAGCTTCCCTTTTGCTTGACAGAGCTACAAAGAGTTGTAAATGCAAGGACTGGCCACAAGTGACTTTTCATCACGGTTGTAATTGTGGACAGCTGCTGAACGAGGCTGTCACTAGACAAAGATGACCTGTATGACGATTCGAGTTGGATGGGGGGGGGGAAACCCCTGAAACCAAAGCTTTGTTTTCGGCTTCCTCTTCCCTCCCCCTTCCACGGTTTTGTCCAGCAGAAATTCCCATGGGATTATTTAATTTTGTTTCGTAGGAGGAGGGACACTCCGAACTTGTGCACTTCGTCCGTCTGGAATCTACGGTCCGGGAGAGAACAAAATTATTCCCCGCATCTTCGTAGGCATTGCTTTTCTGACCTTTGATTGTGCTCTGCAAAAGAACTAAAACTAAACCTTTTTATTTTCTGAAAAGCTGGAAAGGGAGCTGAAAGCTAGGATGGCCACACCGTTAAAAGGAGTCCTTGACTTACAACAAAAACTGAGCCCAGAACAACAGGCATAAGTTGTGCTGGTCGTTAAGCAGGTCGTTATGTGAGCACAGCTGATGGAGGAGGAGGGGAGGAGGAGGAGGAGGACCGTGGAGTCCTTGGTGCTCTCTGAGCTTGGTGGTTTTCTTGCAGACGTTTCATGACCCAACTAGGGAACACCATCAGTGCTAGAAGAGAGAGGTGGTGGTGGTGGTGGTGGAGGAGGAGGAGGAGCACTGTGGAGTCCTTGGTGCTCTCCTTGGTTGTTTGCATGCAGACATTTCATGACCCAGTTAGGTAACATCATCAGTGGTAGAAGGGAGGAGGAGGAGGAGGAGGAGGAGGAGGAAGAAGAAGAAGAAGAAGAAGAAGAAGAAGAAGAAGAAGAAGAAGAAGAAGAAGAAGAAGAAGAAGAAGAAGAAGAAGAAGAAGAAAGAAAGAAAGAAAGAAAGAAAGAAAGAAAGAAAGAAAGAAAGAAAGAAAGAAAGAAGACTGGATTAAAATTGAACAGAATAAAATCTCCATTCAAAGCCAGTGAGTTACCTTGGCGCAGATCATGCTCTCATATCAAACTTGTTGTGTCCTGAGCCTGCAGAAGCAGGCTCGGGACGATGCAAGAGTCCTGGGCATTTGCAAAAGCTGCCCGGGACCAGACTGAGCGGCGCCGGCCTTGCGCGCAAGGCGGGAAAAGACTGCCTGCTATTGGTTGGGATTGCCCGGGGATCAGAGGGTATAAATAGAGGCCTGCGTGCCTCTGCTCTTGTTGGTTGTTAGCTGTAGAGAGCGAATAAAGATCTGTTAGCACAATGCATTGCTTCCTTCGCCATTATTCTCTGGACTTAACAAAACTGACTATATAGGTAGTCCCCTTTTAGTGACTGCCTCATTTTGCAACCATTTGCAGTTACGCCTCCTCCTCCTCCTCCTCCTCCCCCCTCAATTGTATTTCATCCCACACTGAAAATTGGATGACTTTTTTCTATTTCTTTTCCATAGAAAACTATCCAGACCTATTTAAAGTACTTCACTTTTGATACCACGGGCACATGGATGAACTGGGTTGATATTTATAATTTAATTCAAGCCTGCCTCCTTGCCAGCAGAGCTCTAACAGCAGAGAGAAATTTCATTGCTGTAAGTAATCCATTTCTGATTTTATGTTGGGTCCATTTTGACCAAAATGGCTGCCAGAAGCCAGGGCACCTGCCCTGGGGGGGACTTTTTAATTTTTATTTTTTTTTAATCCGTTCTCTCATTCCTTCTTTTTATTTTTCTCCAGAGTGGTCAAGCCTATTTTGTAAACGACGGAGAAAAAGTCAATTTTTTCGAATGGACGTCAGTTGTGGTAAGACCTTTCTCTCGCTTGGGGAAATCTTTTGAGATGAGGCCAAGTCTTTGGATTTATTGCCTAACAGGGGTCTCCCACTTGGCCACTTTAAGACTTATGGACTTCAACTCCCAGAATTCCCCAGCCAGGCATGCTTTCTTGCCAGCCCACCGTTTAACAGATTTACTTTGTGCTTCTCGCGGTATTCAAGAGGCAGCTTGGTTACCAATGCAATCAACTTTCCAGTGGAAGTGAGTATTTGTAGCCCAAGGTTGAGCTGTAGTGTCCATGGTGTTCTCTGAGCTTGGTGGATTGCTCGCAGATGTTGAAACCAGACTGGAACTGTGGTTGAATCTGTCCATCTTCTATATAAATAAAAATGTAAAGGTTCGTTTGTTCAAAATCTTAAATCTCTGAAAGTTCTTCACCGATTGCTTTGAAATTTTGACACAATGTTGCATTCGAATACGCGCGTGTTTTTATATACCTATATTATATAGGTATCACACCTGTGACAGGTAAAACATGTTTTTTTGAAAAACAGCGCCATCTGTTGGACGTAAAAGCAACACACGCTTTTACCAGACTGAGCTACAGCAACGCGTGGCTGGGTACAGCTAGTATGTTATAAAGTCAAGGAATCTGAGATATTAGCATCTTAGGCTGAGCTAACTTCACAAATACTAAGGAATTTCTGGACGTTTGGCATTCACACAAATCAGCCATCAACGGACACTTAGAGAGAAACCACGTATACACACAATTAAAAAGAGACAATAAAAAAAAGCTAAGAAGGAAACTAGAAACAGAACACATCCTGGATTTAACACCAGAGAAACAATCAGGCAGAAAAACAATCCCCCAATCAAGGAACTATCAAGAAGAAACACACACACACACACACACACACATCAACACCAGCACAGGGCAAGCTATTGTTAGTAAATAGGGGACAAACCTCACATCGACTCTCCGTGATGAGGCTATCTATTTGCGTAATGAAATGTCTGTAAGCAAGCAAGCAACCGAGCTCAGAGGACACTAAAGATCCCATAACTAGCATTGCTGACTAACTGACATTGTGGGAAGGAATAGAATAGAATAGAATAGAATAGAATAGAATAGAATAGAATAGAATAGAATAGAATAACAAGATAGAGTAGAATTACAGAAAATAGAACAGAATAGAATTATGGAGTGGAGTAGAGTAGAGTAGAGTAGAATAGAATTACAGAATAACATAGAATAGAATTACAGAATAAAATAGAATAGAATTACAGAAAATAGAACAGAATAGAATTATAGAATAGAATAGAATAGAATAGAATAGAATAGAATAGAATAGAATAGAATAGAATAGAATAGAATAGCAGAACAAAATAGAATAGAATTACAGAAAATAGAACAGAATAGAATTGTGGAGTGGAGTGGAGTACAGTAGAGTGGAATAGAATTACAGAATAACATAGAATAGAATTACAGAATAAAATAGAATAGAATTACAGAAAACAGAACAGAACAGAACAGAACAGAATAGAATAGAATAGAATAGCAGAACAAAATAGAATAGAATTACAGAAAATAGAACAGAATAGAATTGTGGAGTAGAGTAGAGTAGAGTAGAGTAGAGTAGAATAGAATTGCAGAATAACATAGAATAGAATAGAATAGAATAGAATAGAATAGAATAGAATAGAACCTGGAAGGGACCTTGGAGGTCTTCTAGACCAGCTCCCTGCTCAAGCAGGGGAACCTATAATAGGAGAGCTGAATTAGCGTATGGTGGCAGAAAACTGGGGGTCGAGGCTCTCCATATACCTGAGGAGTGGAGCTCACAGAAGCTTCTGCCTTTTAAGGAAGTTTGTTATTTGGAAAAGTTGCTACCCGACTCTCCTGAATTCTAGCTCCTAAGGTAAATCTCGTCCCGTATTGACCTTTAATTCATCATGGCATGGGAAAGGGTGTTCCCCCCCCACCAGGTATGTTGTCTTTTCTATCTCTTTCAGTACAAAACGCTGGGTCGCCAGAAGCCGAGACTGATCCTGCCTGGGGTTCTTTTAAAAATCGCAGGTAATCTGAATATTTGGCCTACCTTTTTCTAGGAAGTCTCCAATTTCACTGAGGTTCTTGTGTTCATCAATACATCAGTGACAGGTAGTCCTCGACTTACAAGCACAACGGACCCCCAAATTTCTCTTGCCCAGGAAGACTGTCGCTAAGTGAGTTCTCCACCCAAAGCACTACCCTCATGTAGCACCATGTGCCATCAATCACGCGATAGGCTGATGCTTTGTCTGGGGTTTGGCAGCTTCCAGTTGATTATAACTTTTGGGAATGTTCAAGCACCTGGGACAGGTGTCTAAGAGCAGCCGGATGTCCCTGTCTACAAGATCCAAAGGTTGGCACCAGCCCTTTGCAACCTCTGAATTAGGACAGGCCTAATTCTGTTGGGTTCTGCCCACGTGCCTTTCTGGTGCCCCTAAATCTGGATTGATTCACGGATCCCTTGTTCTTCCTCTTTAAATGTTCGTCTTCTTTTCTCCTAACAGTTACCATGGCGGAGTATCTCTACTGGGTTCTTAAGCCCATATTTAACATTACACCGCTCCTGACCAAAAGAGAGGTAAAAAAAAACAAAAAACAAACCCACAACTTTTCTGCTTACCTTAGTAACAACAAAGAGGTAATTGGGCTGTGAGCAGAGATCATTCAATTTTTGACCCCCTTCCTTCCTTCCTTCCTTCCTTCCTTCCTTCCTTCCTTCCTTCCTTCCTTCCTTCCTTCCTTCCTTCCTTCCTTCCAACTGGGGTGCTTACCGCCAGCGTGGGAACCTGTCTTAAATGGAAGCGTCTAACTTTGGGACGACAAATTCATGTCATGGTGTGTTTGCTTTCCTAGGTGGAGCACCTCCTTGTGACCTACACTTTTCGGATAGACAAAGCAAGGAAGCAGCTGGGCTATCATCCGAAGAAATATTCCTTGGCCGAGGTGATGGACGATTATCTGCGGAGAAAGTCTATGTGTGAAGAAAAAGGATGTCCCTCCTAATATTCAAATTTTGCCCAAAGATTATTTCCCCCCAAAAGGCAACCGGACTCTCTTTGTTTAATCCTGACCCTTGAAGAGGTTTCGCTTCTCATCCAAGAAGCTTCTTCAGTTCTGACTGAACGGTGGAGGACGGAAGGATTTATATTCCTTGCAGTCATCTGGTCGTTAGTACTCTCTCTGAGAATCGTTGAGGCCACTTGGAGATTTACTCTTCATATTTGGCCTTTTTTCTTTTACACTGGGGCCTTTCGTTCCTCACTGAAGCGTTTTCAGAAACTTTTCTGCCTGTGGAGAAGACAGGAAGCCCTCGGCTTACGACCACAATTGAGCCCAAATTTCCCGTGGCCTCAGTTTACCACCTTTTTTTTTTTTTCCATTGTGAAGTGAATCACTGTAGTTTTTAAGTGAACCGTGCGTTCGTGAAGCGAACCGGGCTTCCCCCGTTGACTTTGCTTGTTGGAAGCCGACTGGAAAGGTTGCAGATGATGATCACATGGCCCTGGGATGCTCCAACTGTCACAAAAACCTGTCAGTTGCCAAGTGTCCAAATTCGGATCGCTTCTGAGGTTGCTGCGACAATTATAAGTCTGCAAACTGGTTATAAGGAAGTTGATTCTTGCCTTTGAGCGAAGAGCCAATATTATTTATTGCATGTAAGGCAGTGATCCCCAAACCTTGGCAGCCCGGCAAGGAAGGGGGCAGAGGGGATAGTTCCTTGTGAGTGGCAGGGACCCCCCCGTGCATGAATCTGTGCAGCTCCGTTGGTGTGAGCGCAAGATGACTACTGCTCCCCGGGGGTTGGGGATCCCTGGTTTAAGGGATGCTTGTTGGGATGCTGGATAATTCGACTGGGAGTTCAAAGGCCTGTGACCGCCTGGGAACAGCTTTGAAAATAAGGCAGTTTGGGGCAGGTAAGTGCCTGGATCAAAGTGCCTCTGAGGATGAGCTCCCGGGGCAGACGTGGCCTCAGTTTTTAACCGCTTCCATGAGATGTCAGAGAATAATAGAGTTGGAGAGGACCTTTGAGGTCTTCTAATCCAACCCCTTTCTCTTTCAAGACATGTCGTGATTTCAAAGCTTAACAATAAACCGGTGCAAATTGTGGTGCAGAATCCTATGGTTTTGCTGGTGCATCTCTCTCTCTCTCCTCCCTCCCTCCCTCTCTCTCTTTCTCTCCCCTCCCTCCCTGCCTCCCTCTCCCCCTGCCTCCTCTCTCTCTCTCTCTCTCCCCTCCCTGCCTCCCTCTCTCCCCTGCCTCTCTCTCCCCTCTCTCTCCCCTGCCTCTCCGTCTCTCTCCCTCCCTCTCTCCCTCTCTCCCCTCCCTCCCT